GAGTCTTCTTTGTCCGATAAAGATGCAGATTAGGCTCAACTGGAGCAGGGAAAAGAAATAGAGAGATTTCGATTCAAGTAAAACACGAAACAGAGCTTTGAATCCTTATCTGATTTGGAATTTGAGGTTTGATTGATAACGAGATTCAAAACCCAGATGAAATCAAGCTTGTGGAAATTTGATTTGGAATTTGAATCTTGATCTGTTTAGGAAGAAGACGTACAAGAGAGAGAGAGAGAGAGAGAGAGAGAGAGAGGGTGGGACCCTTTAGTATTAAATAATTGTATTTTTTTTTAAATAAGACAAAAACTTCATAAATGGTCCATGTGGTAGTGAAATGACAGAAATGTTCTTCACTTAACGGCCAAAAGCTAACGGAGTTAGCGAAAAGGACCATTTGTTAAAAGTTTTGAAACCACAGGGACCATCTGTGAGGTTTTTTGAACTTAGGGACTAAACTTGATATTTTTAGAAACCACAGGGACCATTTTTGAAGTTTTGTCTTAAAAATATATCAAGTTGCTTTCGTTCTATTTTTCTTCTTGTCCATTTCTAGCATTTAATTAATGTATATCATTATTTATATTCTTATCTTTAACTTAACGTTCATCTCCATCACGAACTAACCTAGAGTCAACTTTGCTACTTGTTAGTAATATCAACAACTAAATATTTGTGTATCACATGACATTTTTTAATGTATTTCTTTTTCTTAGATTCATTCCCTTCTAGATAAAATGTATCAAAATTTGATACGACATGATAATCTAACACGGACTGGACATCAAATAAATGTGTTTGGATAAAAGTTTTCAATCCATTTAATTAAACAGGTTAACATAACATGACACGAAAATTAAACAGATAAAGTTATGGTTGGGAGTTCCTACTCGAAAATGACTTGTTTATTTATAGGCATGTTTTTTTTTAATTTATAAATAAATTTGATAGACACAAATTAAAAACCATGTATAAAATAAAATTTTTGGGTTAAGTCATTTTATAAGTTTTTTTTTTCTCTCATACTCCACTGTCCCATTCGAATACTCCATCATCCTCATGAGCTCTCCATTCCACCTCCTAACTCCAATTCCCAAGTTTTCTAATTTTCATGTTTTTTTCCTTATTTTTAACCTATGATGCATGGAAACTTCAACTTGGTCGCCGTTCCCGTATCCGATACTCCATGGAAACGGATACTCCATGGAAACGCCTAGGAAACGTTTCCATGACGTATCTGGTAAACACGATATGTTTCTATGCAGTATCCTCCAAGTTTCCGCCAAGTTTCCATTTTCTTTAGGGTTTGTATGGGCCTTTTCAGTCCAAAAAAGTCTAATGGGCTATATTAATCGACTCTTAACTTAATACCCTACAACACAAGCCGATCGTCCCTCAAGTCAGTCTACTACCTCGTCGATCAGACGATCACTCATCACAGTGATCACCAAACAGAAATCAGCAAACTTGCAAACCATTCATGGATTCACCAATTAAGAACACCGATTTACATATTTTGG